TATGTGGTTATCTGCAAAATGGTAAATAAATGTTTTGCTCAGTTTGACTTAATATTCAATTTGACAAACACACGACGATAAACGTCGTTACTACAGTTCATGTTCCATATCGAGCGTCATTTACAAATCTTCTAATAAATACCTTGATAAACTAATAAATAAACAATATCTATTCTAATAAACAATAAATAATAATTCTAATTCTAATAAACAATAAATATCTTGATCATTATTGCAATTTTCGCAAAACTGAATTGAACTTTTTTATTTATTATTATCAAAGTCCTCATGAGCGATTATGAAATCGAGCAAGAACCTTGTGTATGCTAAGCTCATAAATATCACAAATACATCAAATATCCGAATTATATTTATTTGCTATTTTTTTCATAATTAAAACTTTAGTTGAGTTTTGAAATAATCAATAAAAATTGACGCAGCAGTTAACATGTTAACAAAATTATTCCATTGCAAACATTATTTCTTCGAGAAAATCTTGTTAAGTTTACAGTATCGGAAGATAAATACCTAACAGTGTTCTCTGACGTGACATCTCTGACTTGCTTAATCTCCCAGAGCAATTTCTTGGTGATATCAACTACCTTCTTCTTCGTGACCTTTTTTATAGCTACTCTCTCACCCTTATAAATTCCGACAGTAGTAAAGACCGTTGCCGGCGGCAAAGACTCGCAACTGATTTGCGATCCACGACGAATCCTTTGTTCTAATCCAAAATTCTGCAATTATACAGTCGGCTGATTAAGTGTAACAACACGTTTCCTTGATAATGCAACATATTCCATATCTATAAGAATATTTATAGGATATCTAAAACATATCTCCTGAAAATTGCTAAAAAGCTAATTCTCTTATTGGGTATGGGATGCATTATGAAACTTATCGAGAAAAAACATTACAAAAGGGAAGGTATCAATAACGACATTTTTTGGATTACGTTAGAATCCCTTCAAACTATAGGGGGACCGGGTCTAATTGTCACACTTTTTACATATTGATAAAAATAAAATGGCGTATGCAATATTTCAGAATGTTGAGTACATTTTAATATAGCTACATTTTTTAGGTACAAGAAAAAAAAATATAAACCATATTTATGCATAAAGAAAGTATGTAGTCGTAAGCAAGATCGGAAAAATGTGACATCCCACATCATACTCTGGGTCAATTGTCACATGTCTTCTATATGGAGAAAACATGACAAATAATTCTTGTTGTAACAGTGTTTGTAATGTTATAGTGAAGTTAATTATATATAACCAAGTATCAATATATAATCTGTGACGTGGCAGCCTCGGAGGCGCCCGTCTCAGGGAAAGCGTACCGATTTCGCGATAGTTCCTCGCGTATCACGAAAGAATTCTCGCGAAGATTACTGATTATCGCGTCCCAGCGTATTTTTGTTTGTGGGAGACTCTAGGACAAATATCGGAGTCAATTTGTGTGAGTGGAACAGATTTGAAGGTCCTCGCGTCCCACACTTTGTGCCCCTCGGCTTCCCTTGCCGGCCACCAGGACCAACGGAGCTGAGAACTTTGAGGGACGAAGAAGCATCGACCAACGGTTCATCGCTCTCGCTCAGATGAATCGATCTCCTTAAATTTGGCGTTAGAAAATTTCCGAATTCCCAATCGCTCTGCATTATCGAAGATTATAACGATTAGAATATTTGATAACGAGAGCACAGCTACCGATAGAGCAAGTGTGTACCGCTCAACTGTGTTTACTTTTAGCAGGCGCTCGGCGGACACGGCAGGAGAACGAGACTGTCGCGAGGATGCTAGCAGAAAAAAACTGGAGCACCGATGGAGACCGCGAGCCGATCCACGACGGCAACAGTGTCTCGAGACAGGTAATGTCTCGACACAGATTTACCGAAAATTGCCGATTCCCGAATGCCGAATGCCGCTGGGCGAGAAGGGAAGCGACGGAGGACCTACGAGGATACGCGGTCCTGCGGAAGCCGACGGATCAGCAGCCTTACAGCGACCGTCGCCGCGCACAGACAAAGAACGATTTCCGTAATTACCGTATCGAGAGTGCGTGGAGAGAGAGGGAGAGAGAGAGAGAGAGAGAGAGAGAGAGAGAGAGAGAGAGAGAGGGGGG